ATTTCAATACACGTTATACGAAAACATTTACCAGCATGGATTATGATATCAAAAATTGTATATTACATATAACATAATGGCATTTTCGTTTTTGATACTGACTTTATTAGCAAGAATATCAAGCGAGCACGCCAGTGCGAGCTGTTTAGGGCAATATCTAAAAAAAAAAAAAAATGCCCATATTCTTTTTATCGGCAATTTGTCTTAACTGCATGTTATTTTTGGTTGAGAAAATGAAGTAAAATGGAAAAAAAAGTAAATAAATCTTCTTTTACGCGTATAAAAAGGTTTGAAAAGTTATTCGGTTGTATGAATGGAGTCCAGTCCATGATCTTAAAAATATAAGCCATTAAGTTCACAGTGAAAATGTGCAAATTGCCAATAAAGAAATATACTGGTTTATTGTAAAATATGACTTCACCCAATCACAGAATTTTCCAAAAGGTTGCTTTCAGTATCTGCAAACATCGCTTGGTGAAGTTAAAATTGTCTCTTCGAAAATTTTACGGACGCCATCACGAGTTGATCGACCGTTATAGAATATATGTTTCACAGATAACGACAAACATGTTTCAGTTGTCTTAAACAAAATAACGCCTTCTTTTCCCTGAATATTACCTACTGAATTAGCTCATAACCGGGTTTGTACTCAAATGAGCAACATGACTGGTGCAACATGTGGACAGGATCTGACTACCCTTCCTAGGCACCTTAGATCACCCCGATCTTTAGTGGGGTTCATGTCGCTCAGTCTTTAGTTTTCTTTGTTGTGTTTTGTATACTGTTGTTTGTCTTATGCCCTTTTAGTGTTTTACCATTGTGTTATCAGTTTTTTTTTGACTTATGAGTCTAAATGTCTTTTGGTATTTTAAGCCTTTCTCTTGATATTGTTATATTTATTATCGTTTTAGCTCTACCTGTGTTTTTTTTTTTTTGCTCTTATTTAAGTACACTTTCTTACATATATATCTTATTCTTCTTTGTTGATTTTCAAAAGTGTTAGCGTGTTGAGATTTTAAAATTACTAGTATCTATCCCCTCAACATAAAATATATCTCAACAATTGCTGTCTTGTTTTTTTCTTATTGATTTTATTTTTTCATTTGTTGTTTGTTTGATTCTTTCATAGTTTACTTTCGTTCCGATATTCATAGCTATTTTAAGTACCTACATAATATTATATTGTTATTGTCCCTGCCACTATCTACACCAGAACCTCCCATCTTTCCTGGCATCCCTGCTTCTAAAATCAGTAGAGATGTATAGATTGAAATACATTTAAAATCAAAGAAACATCAAGTGCAATAATACAACGTAAAACATGTCCTTTTAATAAAATAAAAAACTAGAAAAATAAAAATAGTACGCCAGACCCAAGTTTCGAATACATATGATTTCATCAATGTCATTTAAATCAAAATAATGAGAAGACCATTTTAATCATGAAGTAAAAAGCATTGAATCCAAATAAATCCTCTAAATCGCGATTAGTATGACTAATGTCATCTACAATGAATGCCTAGTTGTTGAATTTCGAAATATTTAAAAACTTACTGAACGAAAAAGTCATGGAACGAAAAGATAAAAATAACGTTGCCAGGTCGTAAATTAATGACGTAAACGATGTTTACGTGAAATTATACTACAATAAACTTGTCGGTATCCTTTTCATGTGTGTGGGTGTAGTAGGAATCGTGTCTTATTAGATCCACACCAGCAACATATATAAGCGTATGTAGTTGTATGTTTTTTTTTTCTCTGTGTTTGTTTTGAATGTTCGTTTATCACATTACTTACTTAATGGTATATTTTTGTAGGTGTTGTGCTCACATTATCTGCTAGATAGTGTTATTGATTATTCCTGTTGTAAATGTGAGCTTTGTTCGTATTGCGACCATATAGTATACTTGATCGTCTGTGTGGCGATTAAAGGTGGATTGGGGGGGGGGGGGGGGGGGGGGGGGGGGTCTTAAATTAAATCCATAGATTTCTTCTTTTAATAATTTGTCAAAATGTAGTTTTTATGATGCTTTTTTCCAAAATAAAATAAAAAGTATGGGTTACCGTACTTTTTTTCACTGTACAGATTGTGCAAAATTGTCAGATTTTGTATAGATTATGCATGGAAAATCCAATTTTGTGTGATAAAAAGAAAACTATACCATAGAATTTTAAGATAAAATGTGAGGAGATAGCTCTTATAACATGCTTTCAGATAAGAAAAAGAAAAAATGGGGTCACCGGACATGTTTTCCTGCTACACATTAAAATAGACAAATTCACTTTCTATTATAAAAAATACTTTATCAGAATTATCTCCCCTACTGTCTAAGTTATCTCCCTTTATGTGGAATAGTTGAAAAACAATGAATCAAACAAAAATATTGTGTTTGTTGAGAAAATACAGCCGTAAATATGATAAAACACATAATTTTCTATACTAACATGAAAAGTCTTACACATGAATTACATACTACTCTCAAAATTTGCAAATTTCATTAAAGATCTAGACCAATTGTTATCTGCTACTTCAAAATCCAAGATGGAGGAAGACACCCCAGCCACCTTAACTTAATTGTTTTGCTCAAATTATTTATCGGACATTGTTCAGATTTTTTTTTCGTGTTGTCAAATATTGTTCACAGCGTTGAAGACAACCTAAAATTCCGTGTTGACATGAAGTTATTAATTTTTATCCCCAGGAACAGATTACCGTAGCTTTATTTTACAAAACCTTTCGGAATTGCTTATTAACTTTATATTTGATTTTACCTTTACGGTATTCTGATTTGAGCGTCACTGACGGTTTTTTGTAAAGATGAAACGTGCGTTCGGCGTTCAACATTATAAGCTTGGTATTTAAGATGATTTGAATTGACGACTAACGTCCAGCAGCCAATAGTACTCTCATATTTCGGACGATGATATGAATATGCTACATAGATATTTGTTTAGGGTCGATGTTTTACATACCATTATATGATAGTTAACTACCAATAATATGAGTGGATAGGCATGACCGATGGGGCATTTCCTTAGGCACAATGAAAAGGCTTGCAATTAAAAGCAAATACCATTCTGGATTCATGATTAGTATGACAAAATTTATACTTAAAATCAATAATTTGACCTTTGTAGTCAAAAGTTAAGGTCATAGGGTGTCTTTAATTGTACACAATACAGTGTCATAAGACAATATACTGAAGTACTAGATATCAATGTCTATGTCAAAGTATAAAAAAGGTAATATAACGGTTAAGGAAATTTAAGGTCAAAAGTCAAGGTCTCACCAGGGTCATAATGATACGCTACATACAGTCTCATGATAAATGTAATATAACTTTATGCCAACAACTGATTTCAAATAAGTTATGCTTAACTCTATCCCGAAATTTATGAATATTGGCACTACTTTTTCTCATCCTTGGGAGTAATGAATCGTATAATTTTTTCATCAAGTGTATATTTATCAATCAGTTCATTATGCATGTGTTAGTTATTATGCTTCAGATTTCAATAAACTCAATACTTCCAGTAAACGAAAAATCTAACAACAAGATTAAGATATAAAAAATTTGAAAATATTCCAATTTTTTTTTTTTTACAAATATATGGTTCTATTTTTAAATGAGGCTTCAACCAAGTTACAGGTAGGTGTGTACCAGATCAATACAAAACGACTTCAGTATAAAGGGTACAAGGTTATTAATAAAACTATCATGAGAAGCTCGGGACATATAATGACAAGGGTCAAGGTTGCGTCCAGAATTGGAATATTTACAAATTCACCAAGCTTCTGCAGCGGTTAGAAAGAATACCTTTCACATCAATCTAGAAAAGGTTAAACATTGGTTGTCCCAGTTTTTTTACGACAAAAGGGATGATTTCAGCTTCCCAATTGTGAACTTTCAATTTCCTTGTAGCAACATTCCAGAAGCGCCTGCATACAGAGTATATATCTCCCAGTTAAAACGATATTCCAGGGTTTGTATTTATTTCACGATTTCCTTGATTGAGGGTTTTGGCTTACAAAAAGTTATTAAGCCTAGAGTTCCAAGTGGCGAAAGTGACATCATCCCTTCGTACATTTTACGGACGCCATCACGAGTTCGTTCATCCTTATAGAATATATGTTTCATAGATGACGACACGTATGTTACAATTGTCGTTACTACAATTTGGTCCCCTTTCCCCGAATATGACCTATCAAATTAGATTTATCCCCGGGTTTGTGCTTACATGAGCATCATGACGGGTGCCATATGTGGAGAAGAATCTGCCTAGCCTCCCGCAGCACCTGATATCACCACCAGTTTTCGGCGGGGTTTGTGTTGCTCAGTCTTTTTTTTTCTATGTTGTGTTTTGTGCTTTGTTAACTATTGTTTGTCTTTTTCTTTTTAAGCAATGGAGCTGTCAGTTTTTGTTTTTTACTTATGAGTTTGAATGTCTCGTTGGTATCTATCTTTTCTCGTTTTAAAATTCCGAGATCAGTAGTCTTGTTCATGTCTACGGAGAGGCAATGCAATGTAATGATTGATAATCAAGTAGTTTTAGTTTATGCGAACTCACATAGAACATATAAAATGATCAGATTGATTAAAAGTTGGATGGGCAGAGTCAAATATGGAAGTTAAAGAAGGTCACGTTTATTTGTAGTTCCATGATGTTCCGATATCAGACTTTTAGAAACATAAAGCAGCGCTTACGCACAAATAAAGTGTGTTTTATTATCTTGCATAAAATAAAGTAATTGGATCTGGCTTTCAGTACCTGCGAAATTCTTTGATACTGTTTGACCAAAATTTTTTTACTGTAACTTTTGTAGCCATAATGTAATAACTTGTGAAAATGTTTATTCTTTTTTCTTCCTTTTTTGTTTCGGAATTGTCCGCACTATTCCCGAGACTATGTTTGACTTTGTGTAAAAATAGATATACAGACGGACGATATTTTATCCTCCAACCCACAAATAACAAAAACAACCTCTTTCTTATAGTGACTTATTTTCCATTGGCAAACAAGAATGTAAAATTACCAGGTCTTAGGTAATAATTAAACCCTTCATTTATGACAATTTGCCTACAATTAATTGTATTTAAAGATTTACTAAAGTGAAATTAGCTATGATAACTCGACAAGAATGATAACCTTAAATTTAAGATTCCAAACAATGATCTCAGCCCAACCAAAAACAAAAATACAAAAATACAATACAACATCTGAAATTTAAAATTCCTTTCTCCACAAATAACATTAAAATTCAAGAGATACTATTCTTGGACGTATATTATGATGTTATGCTGATTTTCATATAAAGGAAAAGGTTGCTCTCTTGCAAATCAATACATTCTGTGTGTGCCAATCAAGGGCCTGTAGTTCAGTAGTTGTCGTTCTTTTTTGTTTTTCGTTTATTGTTTTGTAAATAAACCAAACCACATCTTTTATTGGTGTATGTATATTAATATTAAATGACACCAACCATTAGATGCTTTTTACTTTTTGTAAAACTGATCAAGGATACTAGCAAGATGATCATGTCTTTTAATTAAGACTAATCATGTTCTTACAAATCAGTGGGAAGTATAAACCGATTAATAGTATTGCATATATACATTTTGAAATAAAACTGAAATAAACTTTGCCTGAAGATATTTCTGGAGAGTACGCCGTGCTTAAAGTCGTTGTGGTCACAGCAGTTGAAGACTGATGATTTCCTTTATACTTCAACGGGAGTGCATAATAAATTGGTTTTGGTACTGAAATCATATTGAAAAAGATAGATAAATGTAAAAAATAGGATATAAATACAGGCGACATATTCTGGTGTGTTAGATAACCTGGTATAAATAACGTAATAATAAAGGTCATATAATAATACAATATTCTAATATTGACAAAAATAATGTACCAACTCTTGGGTTGGACTTGTATTTTTGGTATATATAATGTAATTTTTTTGGAAAAAGTGTGATCGATCTAATCTAATACTTTTTTCATTGTATTGTGAGTACTACAATCGATTCTCATATAATACAATATATACAAGTATATGTTTACAGTATTTCTTACTGGTCGATATAAGAAAGAGTTTACATCTGGAGATTTTTAAAATTACCCGACACCGCAACATGAAATAAATCTCGACTATTGCTGTCATGTTTTTTAATATTAATTTGGCATGTGGTGTTGATGGAAGACCTTCGGATCTGTTAAGCTTTCTTTGTTTCCGTATTTTTAAATATTCATAACTCCTCTAGACGCTGGTAAATATAAGGCTAGACCTATTTTATAATCATTTGACTTATTTTATAGTCTGTTCAGTACAAGTTGCGATAACAATTTTCTTCAGTGTGAAGTTTGTTCGTATTGCGACCCTATCATATACTTGATGGCGTCTGCGCGGCGGTTTAACTTAATTGATTTGCTTCAATTATTTATCGGACATTGTTCTGATTTTTTTCTTGTTGTCTCGTTGTCAAACATTGTTCACCGCGTTTAACACAACCCGACTTTCCGTGTTGACATCATGTTTTTGATTTTTATTCCCAGGAAAAGATAACCTTAGCTGTATTTTACAAAACCTTTCGGAAGTGATTTTTAACTTCATTTTGATTTTGCCCTTACGGTATTCTGATTCGAGCGTCACTGACGGTCTTTTGTTAAGTGGGTCCGGCGTTTAACATTATTAGCTTTGTATTTAAGATGATTTGAACTAATCAAGGATACTACATTGTAGTTAATCAGTAAGTCAGCAAGATGATTGTGTCAATTACATGAGACTAATCAGTTTCTTACAAATCAGTAAGAAGTATAAATCGATTAATAGTATTGCATATATACATTTTGAAATAAAACTGAAATAAACTTTGCCTGAAGATATTTCTGGAGAGTACGCCGTGCTTAAAGTCGTTGTGGTCACAGCAGTTGAAGACTGATGATTTCCTTTATACTTCAACGGGAGTGCATAATAAATTTGTTTTGGTACTGAAATCATATTGAAAAAGATAGATAAATGTAAAAAATAGGATATAAATACAGGCGACATATTCTGGTGTGTTCGATAACCTGTATAAATAACGTAACGATAAAGGTCATATAATAATACAATATCCTAATATTGACAAGAATAATGTACCAACTCTTTGGTTGGACTTGTATTTTTGGTATACATAATGTTATTTTTTTTAATTAGTGTGATCGATCTAATCTAATGCTTTTCTCATTGTATTGTGAGTACTACAATCGATTCTCATATAATACAATATATACAAGTATATGTTTACAGTATTTCTTACTGGTCGATATTAGAAAGAGTACACATCTGGAGATTTTAAAAATTTCACAACATCGCAACATGAAATGAATATCAACTATTGCTGTCATGTTTTTTAATATTAATTTGTCATGTGGTGTTGATGGAAGACCTTCGGAACTGTTAAACTTTCTTTGTTTCCATATTTTTAATTATTCATAACTCCTCTAGGCGCTGGTAAATAAAAGGCTAGACCAATTTATAATCATTTGACTTTTTTTATAGTCTGTTCAGTACAAGTTGCGATAACAATTTTCTTCATTGTGAAGTTTGTTCGTATTGCGACCCTATCATATACTTGATGGCGTTTGCGCGGCGGTTTAATTTAATTGATTTGCTCCAATTATTGATTAGACATTGTTCTGATTTTTTTTCTCGTTGTTTCGTTGTCAAACATTGTTCACTTCATTTTGATTTTGCCCTTACGGTATTCTGATTCGAGCGTCACTGACGGTATTTTGTTAAGAAGAAACGTGCGTCCGGCGTTTAATATTATAAGCTTTGTATTTAAGATGATTTGAACTAATCAAGGATACTAGTTCATCAGAAAGTCAGCAAGATGATCGTGTCAATTGCATGAGACTAATCAGTTTCTTACAAATCAGTTGGGAAGTATAAACTGATTAATAGTATTGCATAATTATATACATTTTGAAATAAAACTAAAATAAACTTTCCCCAAAAAATTTCTGGAGAGTACGTCGTGCTTAAAGTCGTTGTGGTCACAGTAGTTGAAGACTGATGGTTTCCACTAATCTTCCACAGGTGTTCATAATAAACTTGTTTTGGTACTGAAATCATATTTTAAAAAAGATAGATTAATGTAAAAAGTAGGATATAAATACAGGCGACGTTTGTATAAAAGTGACACCTAACATCCACGCATTCCAACATCAATCCGAATTCCGATAGCAAAAAAATCTTATTCGGAGGACTCCGTATACATACACTTAGTATTTTATTGTAATTATATTACAAAATAATGATCTAATGATGCAAGTATTACTAGACTTGCAATTGCTTAACATCAATCCTACACTAATTTAGTGTTTCGGCGGTTTTTGTATTATATGCTAATGATAAATGTATTACATTTATGATTGGGTTTAAGCATTGTAGGGATTCACCTATCAATTTATTTTAATTTTGTCGATGTCAATAGATCAGCTATATTTTTGTGCCTTTTATAAGCTATTATTGGTTTGCTTGAAAATATTTCTTTGCAAACCGCATCCTGTTTTAGTAGATCCCAATGTTTACTTATGCATTGTTTTAATTTGTGAATGCATGGATTGAATTTCGTTGCCAATACTAAAGGAATTTCCTTTGTGTGTTTTTTGACCTTTTTCTGATTAAATCAGATCTATCACATGATAATGCCTCATTTATGTACTGTTCGATTTCAATCTCCTCATATCCTCTTTTTATTAAGTTCAATCTGAACTGTAACAAAATGTGTTGTAAATCATCAGCATTATTTGTTGTTCTAATGTATCTGATAACTTCGCCCTTGATGAAACTTGCAAACACGTGTCGACTGTGACAGCTTTTACGATGTAGATAAAGGAAAGACTTTGTTGGTTTAAAGTGTGTTTTCACATCTACGATGTTTTCATTACAAAACCGAGTTCCTTTAAAAATATTAACATCAAGAAAATTATTTCTTGAGATGAAAAGTCTTAGATTGGAACTACTAAAACAGGATGTGGTTTGCAAAGAAATATTTCGAACAAACCTATAATAGACAAACAAATATAGCCGTTCTATTGACATCGACAAAATTAAAATAAATTGATAGTTGAATCCCTGATGATGGCGGGCCTATAATGCTTAAACCCATTCATAAATGTTATACATTTATTATTAGCATATAATACAAAAGCCGCCGAAACACTAAATTAGTGTCGGATTGATGTTAAGCAATTGCAAGTCTAGTAATACTAGCATCATTACATCATTATTTTGTAATATAATTACAATAAAATACTAATAGTATGCATACGGATTCTTCCGAATAAGATTGTTTTGCAATCGGAATTCGGATGGATGTTGGAATGCGTAGATGTTAGGTGTCACTTTTATAAAAGTACAACATATGTTTCCGTTAAAGAGTAATACGTAACAGTTATCTACCTTTACATTAAATCATTTTTTTTTTAATTAATTCTCCCTTTACAAATAAGGATTAAATCAATATTTGTGCATTTCATCCCAATTATCATAATGCTACTCATCCAAAAATATGTATTACTTTTATATACATTCCTACAAAAGACCTATCATAAAATATTTTGCTTCGTTGAAAAATATTTTGGAAAAGTTTTATTTCTTGGTTAAGGGTAATGGATAAAGGTAAATTTCCTGGTTAAGGGTAATTCATGGATGGATAAGTGTATGACAGACGTATTCTGGTGTGTTAGATAACCTGTATAAATAAAGTAATGATGAAGGTCATATAATAATACAATATCCAAATTTAAAAAGAATAATTTACCAACTCTTGGGTTAGACTTGTCTTTTGGAATATATAATGTTATTTATTTAAACCAGTGTGATCAATCTAATCTGATGCTTTTCTCATTGTATTATGAGTACTACATTTGATTCTCATATAATACAATAAATACAAGTATATGTATACAGTATTTCGTACTGGACGACATTAAAAAGAGTATATATCTTGAAAATCTAAAAATTACCCAACACTGCAACATGAAATGAATATCAACTATTGTTGTCATGTTTTTTAATATTAATTTGGCATGTGGTGTTGATGGAAGACATTCGGATCTCGTAAGCTTTCTTTGTTTTCAATTATTCATTACTCTTCTAGACGCTGGGAAATATAAGGCTTGACCAATGTATGTTGGCGTTTGTTTTTGTTGCATTTTAGTGTTTCTGTTGTTCCGTTGTTTTCCTCTTATAGTTGATGTGTTTCCCTCGGTTTTAGTTTGTTACCCGGATTTGTTTTCTCTCAATCGATTTATGACTTTTGAACAGCGGTATACTACTGTTACCTTTATATATAATCATTTGGATTTTTTATAGTCTGTTAAGTACATCTACACCCTTCTTGTTACTCTTAAGTACACATGCTTGTTACTTTTAAGCTTTCTCGTTCGTGTATCATCCACAGATGTTTAATTCTCTCTTTTTCAAAGTACGTTGGAGTGGTATCTCTAACCATATATTGTTCGGGTAATATGCTTTTTATTTCTTAAAGGAGCATTAGCTGTCAAATTTATTTTCCCCGATTTGACATATTTGATTTATAACATACAAAGACGAATATTTAAATTATAAGAAGTCTTAAATATATAGTTTACGATACATGGACTCAAAAATATGTATTAGCATTTTATGTGTTTTAGTCTAGTTGCCATTTAACTAACCTTAGATGTGACCTCCGAAGACTGCCGGCGGTCATATAACACGGTATAAATATAACTATAGATATAATATATCGAAGACGTGCAATTGGATTTTTCTTGGTCTGTTTGATTTCATATAAAAGTTTAAACAAATATGTTAATCATAGTTTCTACCTGTATAAGAATGAGTTTTTGTGGGTCGAATCATCAGTCAACCAAAAGAGTCTACCTTTGTTTCATTTTCAATGTTGACAAACAAAAGAACTATGTCAATTGGACCTGCTATGATATGTTAACTGTACTTGAATTTTTACTAGATTACATTTTTGTTCGCTATTGAGATTCCGTATATCGTCAAGTTATCGGATTTCCAATGGGGACTAACTGTGTACCACTTATTGCGGACCTGTTTCTGTATTGTTATGATTTACAAGTTATTACTAAAATCAGCAAAGACCCATCGAGACAACATCTGATACAACAATTTGATAAGACTTTTAGATACTTGGATGATATTTTGGCTCTCAATAATGACGACTTCAGTATAAACACTTGAGAGATTTATTCTGCTGAACTGACTTTAAATAAAGCTAAAACTAACAATGAACACGGTCTTTCCTGGATCTTGATATCTATATCTTTAACGGGAAGCTTAATACCAAAATTTACGATAAAAGAGAGGATTTTTTAATTGTTAATTATCCATTTTTACATGGTGACGTTCACTTGTCACATCGTATAGTGTTTATTTATCTCAACTTGTTCGATTCGCTTGTGTGTGTAACAACGTATTTGATTTAAACTAAAAGAATCTCTGTATTCCTGAAAAATTATTACATCAGGGTTTTCGATATCACAAACTAGTCAAAACATTTACTAAATTTTATCATCTGTACAAGGACGTCATTCGTAAAATAAATCAACATGCAGACATTGTATACGTTCAGGTATTTCACATCCAATCTTTTATGGTAATATTCTATACAAAGTACAAACATGTCGTCATTCACCTCTGAAGCAAACCAAACCTTTAAACAGACTTATACAGATGGGATATAGTTACGATACTGTTGTCAGGACAATAGATATGGCATATTTTGGAATTAATACTGATTCACTCATAGGGTCTTGTAACAACGTATTTGATTTTAACTAAAGAAATCTCTGTATTCCTGAAAAATTATTACATCAGGGTTTTCGATATCACAAACTAGTCAAAACATTTACTAAATTTTATCATCTGTAAAGGGCGTCATTCGTAAAATAAATCAACATGCAGACATTGTATACGTTCAGGTATTTCACATCCAATCTTTTATGGTAATATTCTATACAAAGTACAAACATGTCGTCATTCACCTCTGAAGCAAACCAAACCTTTAAACAGACTTATACAGATGGGATATAGTTACGATACTGTTGTCAGGACAATAGATATGGCATATTTTGGAATTAATATTGATTCACTCATAGGGTCTTTACTTTGGAAATAAACACATCAATTCTAAAACCAGTTGGCATGATACGGGTTATGTCATTCTCATATTTTTTTTATGATGATATGATACTAAACCCCTAACGGGAGGGATTGTGCTTGATTCCATATAATAAAAACATAATCGTTCAATCAGTTTAATCGAGGTCTGGAGCTGGTATGTCAGTAACTGCTAGTATTTCTTTGTAGATTTATGTATTATTGTTATTTTGCTTAGTTTCTTCTGTTACCTTTTCAGACATCCGACTTCTTTTAAGCTGAGTTTCACGATGTGTATTATCGTGTGTTTGTTCATTTTACATTGGCTTAAGGAAGGAAAGGGGGGGGGGGGGGGGGGGTTGAGGTTGATGTTTGCGCCTGTCCCAAGTCAGGATGTTACACTAAACTCCGAAGCATATAAAATGAACTATAATAAAAAAAAAAAAACATACAAGACTGGCCTTTGGATGTTTTTTTTTTAAATTACAGTTCATTTATATGTTTCGGAGTTTAGTGTGACGTCCATTTTTACTGAAATACATTGTAGTACACATTTTGTTTAGGGGCCAGCTGAAGCCCGCCTCCGGGTGCGGGATTTTCTCGCTGTGTTGAAGACCTATTGGTGGCCTTCGGCTGTTTTCTGCTTTTTGGTCGAATTGTTGTCTCTTTGACACAGTCACCATTTCCATTCCAATCTTATTTTGTTCCTTTCAAAAGCTGAACACGCCTAGTTTATGCTTAACCCATCCTTAGCTAAGGGTTGAATAGAAGGTCAAATGAGTGCGGATTTAATGAGGTCGAATTTTTCACTTGCAAGTGAATAATTTATCAGCGATGTTTCATAGCTTATGATGACAAAATTGAACCAAACTGGCTGCTAAAAGCGAATTATTATTTCACGGTTTTACTTTCATTAATGATTGAACAAAATAAAATCATATTTTATTTTTTCTCATATCTCGTACCTTATGCCCCTTTAAATGTTTTTTGCTTACAGAGCTACATATATTTTTAATTCTATTTAGTACTTACAAAATGTTCTATATGTATTGCCCCTGCTACCACCTCCATCATTTACTCCACTACCTTCTAATTTATAGCTATTTAGCGTGCCTATTTTAAAAATCAGTAGATCATGGTTAGATTTTAGTACATATAAAATAAAATTCAAAGGGATTATCAAGTGCAACAATGCAACGTTAAGACATTGAATCAGAAAGTTGAAAAATCAACTTAAAAAGTAATCTAGGCATTAAAGATGAAAATGTTTGATTTTATTCTTATGACCGTACAAATAAGTAAGCTTCTTGATATACATATTGTTTTCAACAAACAAAAACAAAAAATGTCTGAACAAAATATTTACAAGACAGGCTTAGAAATAATTTTTGTTTATAATTCTTTATTTTGTATTTCCTAATCTCATATAATAATTATATGCATTTCTATTGAAAAAGGATACAATATATGTTTAAAAATCATGACCTGTCAGTGTCAGCGCTTATACTATATATGAACACTCATTCCCACCCTCCCAAAAAAAAACGAAAGAAAAAAAACATTAACTTATATTCATATATGATTAAATTGAAATTAATAGAATAAATTATTATTGGCACAACATATTTTTACATGTACTCATTAAAAACATATAGTGACATATTTTGTTGTTATTTTCTCTAAAAGTGGAGAAAAATTACATTATTTTTTACTTAAGTATATTTTTCTATCAAAGACTCGTAATCTTATAAAAAATTATCCAAACTCCAATTATCATAACAAAGTAACACATATTTAAGTCAAGATTACATATCTATATATAGGATGCTCACTAACCACTGTCCAATTGTGATGTGCATCCAGTTGTGTTATACATTTTTTTTAAAGTTAAGTATGAGTTCTCTTTCTTGTATCATGAAATTAATTGTTGAAATGGTTGCCATTTTTTGTCTATTTTTGATCTATTGCAGGAGAATTGTGAAAGGTGGAAGATAATTTTTCAAGAATGTAATATTTTTTTTTCAATTTCTTAAGTGCAATATTTAACACAAGGTAACAGTGAGTTCAATCTACAAGAACAAATACAGTACTTCATGAGAACAATGAAAAAAATTCCAGAGCTATCTATAATATCTGATCCCAAGAGGATGTTTTGTTTTGATATCAGAAGCTCATAATTGCAATCTGATTTTAAGTCAAAAACTTTTGACAATGTAACATTCCCAAAAATATGTTCTATTGTCTCTTTTGTTTCATTGCAAAAACTACATAGGTGTGTTTCTTTAAGTTTACACTCTTATATAGCAGATCATGTGTGCTTAAAATTCTGTGCAGAATTTTGAATTGAAAAATGATCAATTTATTTCTTAAAGTTCACTTGAAAGGATGCATATAGAGAAGATCTCAGTGATCTATTTCCATATTTCTTTCCATTTGTTTTGTAATTTTGTGGGGTTTTCATGATAAATAGACAAACAAAAATATAAAAAAATATGGGCATGATTTCTGATCTGGTTTTAAATAGTCGAAATTATCGCAAGTAATGTTGATTTTCTTTTCACAGTTTTTGATGTGGTCCTTCCAACTACTTGGGATCATATGATATATATACCATAGAATTAAAGAAAATGTGTTTCAATATCATATGTTTCTTTAGATAGGTGAAAAGAGAGAAATTCATTGTTCTCATTCAGTAAATCATTGACACAATATATTCCTGTCTAACACCATTTTTCATAAAAATTTGTTTTTTTTTCAATTTTTAAAAGTGTATTAACCCAAATAGGCAAGCTCATGAAGTCATTTTGGTCATGGGGTGCATTTCTCAGTTTAGCCCAATTTAGAAGGATGTCCTTCCAAAACCTATTAAAATATACTGAAATTTGTTTACTTCTATCCTTGTTCATCACCAATGTTTTATCTGTACCACATTTTCTATATTTATCATTGAAAAGAATTTTTCAAGGACAAAGATTGAAAGAGTCTAATAATATGGATCCATGTCATTTTCAGCGCATAACAGAAGGATCCGATATGAGGCGTCTTTAGTCCACCAGTATCATATATTCCAATTAGAACATTTCTGTTGATTTTATCTGGGTTAACATTCCATAGAAACTTTAAAAAAATATTTTCAATTTCTTAACATTTTCAAAAGAGGGATTTGACAAAATTGTTAATGACTGAATGAGAATAGGCAATGCTATTGATTGTGATATTCGTAGGTATGAAATATCTTGGTAAATCCAAGTATTTAATAATGCCTTTATCTTTTCAATTTTCTCTTCAAATTTATATGCAGTCTTGTCGACAGCAAAAAGATCACAGTTTATACCTAAAAGTTTAAATTTCCCTGTCTGATTCCAGTTTAATCTTTCTCCTTCAAGAAATATTTCTTTTGAATGTGCTTTTGAGCCAATCCATATGGCTTCTGTTTTTTTCTAGTTTGCTCGTAATCCCGAACACTCGGAGAACTTTTCTAAAATATATAGGGACTGTTCTAACGACTTTTCATCATCATCTAAAGTTAAGGTTGAGTCATCTGCATACTGACTAAGCGAATACTCAGAGTTGTCTATCTTAATATCATTAATGTCTGGGTTGTTTTTCATTGCTGCACTCATCAATTCTAAAGCCAGTATAACAAGAGGCTATCAAGAGCCTGAATCGTTCACCTGTAGTTTTTTATTTAAAGTTTTGGCTGAATTTGATTCAATAGTTTCAGAGAAGATTTTTGAAAGTAACAAACATGATGAACAAATTTTGTAAAATTACCTTTAAAGAGTCAAAACTCCTTCAGGGGCCAATTGACAATTTTGATCATTTGACTTATTTGTAGATCTTACTTTGCTTAACATTTTTATTGCTTACAGATTATCTTTATCTATGATAATATTCAAGATGATAACCAAAAACTGCAAAATTTCATCAAAATTATCAATTTAGGGTCAATAACCCAAACATCTGTTGTCTGATTCGTCTGAAAACGGGGCAGGTAGTTCTTGACCTAATGAACACTTTTACCCCATGTCAGATTTGCTCTAAATGCTTTAGTTTTTAAGATATAAGCCAAAAACTGCATTTTACCCCTATGTTTTATTTTAATCCATGGCGGCCATGTTTTTTGACGAAACAGAAAATAAAACTTTACAGTAGATACCACAAGGATCATTCAGCTAATGTTTGGTTGAAATTGGTTCAGTAGTTTCAGAGTAGAAGATGTTTGAAATAGTTGACACCGGACGGACGACGACGACGGACGACGACGATGGACGAGGACGGACGTCAAGTGATGTCAAAAGCTCACATTTCCTTTTAAGAGAGGTGAGCTAAAAAGTTAAGGGGATAAAGAATCCCCTTGACCGAAACTAGAACAACGACCATTATTTATAATACAACTTTCGATATTGAAATATAAAGATTTTACCCAATTACTGAAATCAGGACCAAAGCATAAGAATTCAAGTGTTTTTTTTATAAATGACCATTCAAGAGTATCAAATGCTTTTTCAAAATCTAAAAGGAGTAAAAGTCAAGGTATATTTTCTTCTTCAGTTCTTTCTTTTAAGTCAAAAATAAGTATGATACATTCCCCAATGTATCTAACTTTAATAAATCCTAACTGTGTTTCACTTACAACATGTTTGAGTAAAGGTTTTATTCTATTTGCAATAGATGCGGAACATCTTTTCATATCAACATTTAGAAGGGTGATAGGTCGCCAGTTTTTTAAATAAAACTTAGATTTCCCCTCTTTTGGGATGCATGTAACAATGCCTTGTCTTTGAGAAATGGACAAAGAGCCTTCTTCAAAGCTATAGTTAAAGTAATTTAGTAAATAGAACTTAAGGTCATTCCAGATAAAAATTATAAAACTCTGCTGTGTACCCATCCCCTTCTGGTGATTTATTATTGTTCATTTTCTTTTTAAGCAATCAGACATTCTTGAATTGTTAATTTTCCTTCAGCTTCTAACATTTGTTCTTCTGACAAAGACTTGATAAAAGAGTTATTTTTGTTGAAAAAAAATGTTTTCATGTTCCATTTTACAAAAGCATTTTTAGATGAGTACAAAGTTTTATAGCATTTTCTCTGTTCTTCAAATATTTCGAATGTATCAAAGATTTCGTCCCCATTTTCATTGATAACTTTAGGAATAATGCCCTTTTTCTTAATTACAAAAGTAGTTTGTACATTTTTCTCCTTCTGCTTTTGCTCTTGCAATTATAACATTTATTTGTTTTTCTCTTAAAGTTTTTAAACTATCCTCTATGTTTTGAATTTCAGTTTTTAGTTCCTGTTCTGGTGTAGGTCATATCTATTTTGTAAAATGTTTAATGGTTGTTGAAGTTCAGATTCTTCCCTTTGACTTTTCGTTTTTAAATATGAAGTATAAGAGATAGTTTTTCCTCTCACTGTACATTCCAATAGCTCCAAAAAATAATGGGGGTCTACAGATAATTCTGTTTCTTCCCCAGTATCTGTTTTTGATAGATTATATTGATTAACAGTGTTTGATATACACTTTTTAATCCCAGCCACATAATAAGTATCATGTAGAAACCTATTATTGGATTTCCAATTACCCCTCCCCCTTTCTTGGTTAACAAATTTTAAACAGAGAGAAACAGAAGAATGGTCAGAACGGTAGCTAATATCTTTATCAGATTTATTTACTAGGGATTCAAAATCAGTGGATATCAAAAAATAGTCTAGTCGACTTTGTTTATATTCAGTGCCTCTCCAGGTAAATATTTTCTTGTCTAAGTTATTTGCTCTCCAAACATCCACTAAGTCCAACGAATTCTTTATTTTTATTAATTTTGTGTACGCTTTTATATTATTTTCTGTTTTATAATTAAGTGTATCAATTTCATAATCTTAAACCACATTCCAGTCCCCCGTCATAATGATTGAAGAATTTTGAATATTTGAAATTATGTCCTGAACTTATGAGAAAAATCTGGATTTTCATTATTTGGGCCATATATAACAGCTAAAGATACTCGATACTCATGAATGGTCATATCTTAGATTAGATAGTTGTTTCCCTCTTTATGTTTGTATTCTTTATGAACAATAACTTTGAATTTATTATTCGGAAGTATAGCAAT